TCAATTGAAATATCAGGTGTGTAATAAATAAAAAAAACCGTGACAGCGAGTTTCAGATGAAAAAAAAATCTTTTGAGAATCGCTATTCGGCGCCTTTAACCTTTACATGTGAAATTTAACCTTTCGATTTATTTGCTTTTTACTCTATTTTTCTTCATCAAAATGTTGACAGCTCCGTCAAAAGAAGAAAGAAAAAAAAATAAGGTCAGTTGGGGAATTAAAAAAAACAAAAAATATATGCATTACTTCTTTATCTCGAAGCCACGTTTAACATTGTAATCAAACTATTTAACAGACAGTAACATAAGTTTTTGAGCTTCGACATCTAATTCCGTAATTCCTACAATTTCTATAATTTGTAATTCCTCCAGTAATTTGTAATTCCTATAATTTGTAATTCCCATAATTTCTAATTCCTATAGTTTGTAATTCCTATAAATTTTAATTCTTATAATTTGTAATTCCTATAATTTTAATTCCTATAATTTGAAATTCCCATTATTCCTATAATTTGAAATTCCTATAATTTGTAATTCTTATAGTTTGTAATTCCTATAATTCGTATAATTCTAATTCCTGTAATTCGTAACTCCTATAATTCCTACAATTTGTAATTCCTATAATTTGTAATTCCTACAATTTGTAATCCCTGTAATTTTTGAATGCTACAATTTGTAATTCCTATAATTCCTATCAATAGTAATTCCTACAATTTGTAATTCCTATGATACCTATAATTTGTTATTCCTATCATTTTTAATTCCTATTATTTTTAATTCCTATAATTCGTCATTTCTATAATCCTACAATTTGTAATTCCTATAATTTGTAATTCCTATAATTCTTAATTCCTATAATTTGTAATGCCTATAAGTCCTACAATTTTTAGTTGCTATAATTCGTAATTCATATAATTCCTACAATTTGTAATTCCTATAATTTGTAATTCCTATTATTCGTATAATTTGTAATTCCCATAATTCGTAATTCCTATAATTCCTACAATTTGTTATTCCTACGATTTGTAATTCCTATAATTCGTATAATGTTTTATTCCTATAATTCGTAATTCCTATAATTCCTACAATTTGTACTTCCTATAATTTCTATAATTTTTACTTCATATAATTTGTAATTCCTATTATTCGAATAATTTTTAATTTCTATAATTTTCCTGTCTCCGGAAACTTGTTATCATGTATCGATACGGGTTTCATCTGGTATCGCCTCTGTTTTGTTCTTGTCCAATGCCTCCCCACAGATCGAATCAACGACAGAGAATTTTATTCCCATTTTTCCTCACTTTATTTCGTAGCATCCGTTTTATGAATAAGCAAAAGAGAGACAGAGAGTACGAATGTCAATAGGTTACCCAGTTGAGCATCAATATTTGGTGGCTGTTACACAAAGAAATCTGAGAGTGAAGATGGGTCCTCACTCTTTTCTACTTACAAGAGTATTAGCCGACTTTATGCCGTTTTTGGTTTTATATTAAAACTAAAAGCAATTCACCATTGCCAGAATTCTACGTCCACAAGTTCAAACCGTAAACATTCAGTTCTCTCCAGTACGCTAGATTTTGCCATTATAATATGGCCTACGCATTCTGCGTCACGTGATCACATCGTCAAGGACGGAAAACCTTACGCCTTTTCTTCAAAAAGAGCAACTTTTCACCCAAATCGACTCCACCAAGGAAAACAGATGTCTAATAAAGCTATGGTGATCGATTTTGCGACTGACACAGAGATGCCTCCCCTAGCCACAAAACAACTTTAACTATTTACTTGACGCAATATGGGGGTGACATATTAGAATAATCGTGAATAGAAAAACTATTCCCGTATTCTTACTGGAGGGAAAAAAAGCTGATTCGAAGATTAAGCTTTCTCGCTAACATAAGTCCATTAATTTAACGCCCCAGCCATGGGTTAAATAGTAGGACAGTCTGAACTTTCAGTCTGGTAGCCAATCTAGAAGGAAAACTGAATAGAAACCGTAGGGATGACAATATCTACCCCCCCACAAAAAAAAACTTTTTACAGTGGTGAGGCTGTGGCCCTATAAACACCACCCCTAAGAGCAGATCTAGAAATTGTTTTAATATAATCTTTTTTCATTTTATGTCAGCGGAAATCGTTGGCCTGAGACTCTCCTTGAGGTTAGCATCAGACATGTTGATGGCAGACAATAAGGGTTCTCGCAGGCTATCAAAAGAGAACCGCTTCGTTTTGCATGCGTTAATATTAACAAGCCATTCCTTGTCCCAGTTAATAATAGATTGTAGGTAATTTTCGATATCAGCTACCAATTTTACCTTTTAGAACCAAACAGAGTTACTATTAAAACAGGAGTAAATATTTCCGCCTTCGGCATAGATACCGAGTTGAGAACTGATGACATCAGGATGGCCCGTGATGAAAAATAGGAATGGTGTAAGTTCAACGATAGAACCCTGAATAAAAACTGCATTCATACAAAAAGATCTATCGTTTTACTCAGGACGCGGATGTAGTTTATCGACATACCCAGGATGCGGATGCAGCTTATCGTCTTACCCAGGACGCGGATGTAGTTTATCGCCATACCCAGGGCGTGGATGTAGTTTAACGTCTTTACCCAGAAATAATCTGTTTCAGCAAATTCCTCCAGAGATACAAACCGGACCAAATTCTCAATATTATTCATGCAAAATGGAATTTTTTTCTTTGTAATTGGTCAAATTTTCACGCGGAATAAAAATGTTTGCCTTACATCCTTGAAGGGAAATATTCGGTTCTTTTAAGCAAGAAAAAATGTCCGTCAAGCAAACTTACGTTTTTAGATTTCTAAAAACGTAAGCTTGCTTGGCGGACATTTTTTCGTAAGATTCGGATGAAGAAGTGAGGTCAGTTTTTTGCTTTCCGAACAAAGTCTTTAACTCATCATGAAGATCAAAATATGCATTGCAAATCCCATTGGTCCTGTCCTGGTTCAGTGTTACAGGTTCAATCAAAGTCTCCGGTTCGCAATGTTGATTAGATTCCACTTTCCAGCCATGTTTTGTTTTTTTTATCCTGGAGAGCAAATAACAAATAATAGATTCCGGCAGATTTTGCTGGCCTACCAGCTGAATCTTCCGGAATGGTTCGTTGGGGCAAGAATCGGGCCAAGCAGAAAAATCAAATATGACCAAGTCGATTCGAGCCCAAAGAAAAATTTATGTATATGTATATAAGGAAGAAATTAGTACAAAAAAGAATAATGCTTCTTTTACAAGAAAGTAGCGTATATGAAAAAAAAGTCCAGAAAAAACAACAAAAAAACAAATATTACAAATAACTCTGGGAGGAGAGTGGTAGTTTTTGGATTCGCCCTTTTTGTTCTTAGTAGTTGCCGTAAGTAATTCACTTTCAGGATATAAGAGGGTTCACTTGCGCTAATATTGCAGATAACTGGAGTTCACTTCCTCCCTTATTACAGCAGCAAGCAAGCTTTCACTCTCACAGCCTCTCTCTCTCTCTATCTCTCTCTCTCTGGACAACTCCGACTCAACTGACTCGTCTCGACTGACTCGACTGTCTCGACTCGACTGTTTCTTTTCGCACAAACACGCGCTTAAATAAACGCGGTGATAGTGACTAAAAACCCAGCGTTAACATAGAATACAACCTGATTACTTACCTCTCCCCATTCATGATTAAATAAACAGTCTCTTCTTCTCAATTGGCATTCCATAATTCATATAAACACTACTGTTTTGATATTTTCTATTAATAATTCTGACGAAGCACAGATTCTCTGGGCACAAACTTCCCCCAGCTTATTTTCCCATCTATAAACAAAATTTTACATTACTATCATTATTAATATTTTAAGGGCGGCCATTGATCTCTGCGACAGCCTTAATTATTTCTTTCTCGTTTCCATCTTTACCGGATATTAATTCAAAATATTCATCAAGTATCAATTTTGCATTTGAAAATATCACTGCCCATAAATGCACTGACGTCTTTTGGTTTCATCTTTTTCGTTTGTATAAGTGAACCCAAAACGATAGTAATCGTCAATCCTTTTTTTTTTCTTGGACAGTTTGAGGATACGATGTGCAAAAAAAATAAAAAATAAAAGTATTCACTTTAGTATGCCACAATTTAGACGACGGCAGATGCTTATCTTTGAATTAATTTAGTTATTAAATTTAAACCTGATGTTGGCTCTGAATTGGCAATCGTTTTGAGTTGTGCATGGCTCTGTGTGCGTGTGTCTTTCGATCTTTGAATTTTATTTTTCGAGACTCGTTCGTTCTTGCCTCTTTCGTCTCGCCTTTGACCCCATCCTTCCCATCACAAACCTGAAACTTGTACCCCCTGGGGGTGCCGACACTCCCAGTTAGGAACCATGCGTATATATAAAGAAAATAGGAAGGAAGGAAGGAAGGAAAAAGGACGCTGATGACAAAAAAATAGTAAAATAAAATGAAGGAATAAATGAGGAAAATATAGAAAATGGTATTGATAAATAATTAGCGTTACTATGTCGTATTCTATCATATAACGTATTTCTTTACTTTCTCTCTTACCTTCTCTTTCTCTTTCTCTTTCTCCTCTTTTTCCCTCTGTATGCTTGTTTCTCTTCAACTTTATTTTCAGAATAAACTTATTTCTACATCGTATAAATTTTACCCGTTCTTTCTTTCTTTCTTTCTTTCTTTCTAACCAGCACCTAATATATACAACTTTCTTTATTTCTTTCTTTCTTTCTTTCTTTCTTTCTTTCTTTCTTTCTTTTATTCCATATCAAAGCCTTGTCAGTCGATTCCTTTTCTTGTTTTTGAAATAAAACTGCTAATCACTTCAAAGGCCGGTCGGGCTGATTGATCTCCTCTTGTATGAACGTCGGCCAAAATCGAGAAGTGATTCGCGAATGATAAGAGAATATAAAATAAAAAAAATATATTGCGAGGAAGAGAAATCTCGCATCGGGGGACAGAGGCAGAGATTTGGGAACAAAGAAAAAAATTAAACGAACAAGTCAGAAAGCGAAAAAGGTAAAAATGAAGAAGATATATATATATAATTGGCGGGGGAAAGAAAAATGAAAAAGGGAATAATAAATAAAGGACAGTGGGAAATAGATAAGAAGGAAGAAAGAAAGAAGAGAGAGAGAGAGAGAGAGAGAGAAAAGAGGCAGGGAGAAAAGGAAGCCCGAAAATTGAACGGAAGAAAAAGTAGGAAAATAAGAAAAGAAAGACAGGTAAAGAAAGAAGAAGGAAAGCAAAAAAGAAGCAGAATCGTGAAGAAAAAAACGTAAAAAGTGGGGATGAAAAGAAAAACGATTTTAAATGGATGGAATAAAATGTAATGAAAGAAAAACGGCCCGAAAAAGACTAAAGAAAAATAGAACTGAAAGAAGGAAATACAGACGAATGAAAAAAGAATGACAAATGAGGTAAATACAGTGAAAGAGTGAAAAAAGGGAGTATGAAGAACGAATAGACGAAAGAAAAAATGAAATAGGGGACAAAAAGAAGTATTAAAAAAACTGTGGATTAAGAAAGGAAGAAAAACAGAAAGTAAATAAAGACAGAAGAAAAAAGAAAGAAAAGAGAATGAAACAATGTAAAAAAAAAATGGATGAAAAATAGAAGGAAAGAAAAATCAAGGAAATATTAAATGAAAAGAACAATGAAAAATAGTTACAAAGAAAGGAAAAAAGGAGTGAAGGAAGTACAAAAATGAAGTATAAATGAAAGACAAAGAATGAAGGTAGGAAAAAGAACGGAAAAAAATACAAAGGGAAAAAAATAAACGAAAAAGAGAAAGGTAGAAAAATTTTAAAAAATAATTAAAAGAAAGAAAGTTATGAAGGAAAAAAGACGCTATAAAAAAAAAGGTAACAAAGAAAGAAGTGGTGCTGACAAAAGGAAGAATGGGATGGAAGGATAGACGGAGACAAAGAAGAATGAAAAAAATATGTAAGGAGGAGGAGCGAAGAAATAGAAAATACAAAGAGGAAGAAAGAAAAGAAAGAAGAAGGTAGGAAAAAAAGAAAGCGAGAGAAGTAAACTGGAAACAGAAAAGGAGAAGAAGAAAAATGTGTGGAAACAAAGGCAATAAAAGAAAAAAGAAGATGAAAGAAAAACAAAAAAGAAAATAGGTAACAGTGTAGGAGATGAAGAAGAAAAGAAAGAAGAGAACATAAAAAAATGAAAAATAAAATAAAAAATTAAATAATGACGTAAAGAAAGAATGAAGAAAGCTCAAATAAATAAAGGAAAAAAGTAACTTAAAAAGGAATATAATTATCACGAAATGTTTGAAACGGAAGCGAGGATGGACATGAAAGTCGTAATGAACAGTCACAAAGATTAAAGAAGAAAATGGTGGGAGAGATGCAAAATAAAACAAGGGAGATAATCATGTTTGAAAAATAGTATAAAGAACTGGCCAAAATAAATCCATGAAGGAAGGGAAAAAAAAAAGAAATAACGAAATCAATGAAAGAAATGTAAACATGAAGGAAATTAATATATGAAATAAACAAGAAACTTGAAAAGAGAGAAGAAAACGGAATAAGAAAATAAATAGAAAAAGCAAGATGAAAGAAGATATGGTTCGATCCTAAATTACATGGGAGAGTAAACATATTCACAAGCCATATATATTATGAAGAAATATGTCTTTTTCATGAGAGACTTTATAAGAAGGTTTCAATTAATAGCACAATGTACGAACGCGGACAGGATACTCTGACCGTATTCGCAATCTAAGAAAAACACGAAAAGAAAGGAAAATTATTGCTACACAAAAGGCATCTTATACAAACCACTATAGAAAGCAAAATAGATTACTAATCCACGTTGCCAAAAAAAAAAAAAAACCCACCTGGAAAAATACTAAAGTATTTGCAGAAAGCGCTTGAAAAAAAAAACATAAAAAAAATAACACTATCGATACAAGATAAGTTGATTTGTTTTTTTACGACTTATAAATCTTTTGCAAGTTATTTAAAGCTAGAAAATATTTTTAAAATTTTAAGAATTTGTTGGGATAATAATAATTTACTCATAGTTGGGGGGGCTGAGAAGTGGATTCATAACATTCCCAAAGGTATTTGTGCGCAAGTTCATATAAATGCATATAACGAACACGACTGGAATTAGAACTCGGCCCTCTGATTTCCGTTTCCGAGCCGTTATCCATTAAACCACCCGCACATCCACGCCTATAGCACCTGGTATTCCCAAGCGGTCACCCTTCTAAGTACTGTCCAGGTCAGACGTTGCTTAACTTTGGTGGTCATACGTCATTTGCAACCAAACAAACAAACACAAACACACACACACACACACACACACACACACACACACACACACACACACACACCGTATATAAATGAAATTTATGAATTAAATTCATAAATTTTGATTCTTAAAATTATTTGCTTTGCAAAAACCTAAGGAAAAAATTATTTTTAAAGAAAACATATTAAAATTAATCAATGCCTGAGACTGAAATTCCCGGAAAAAATTTACTAACACAAAAAATTATATATATATATATATATATATATATATATATATATATATCATTGAAAACAGCCGACAGGAAAGAATTAATTAATCTTTTATTCAGATTTTCTAGCAATCTATTTTTTTTCCGTTTTTCTCAGTTTAAAGAGTATAGGAATTGTCCAAGTAGATATGTATTTTTAGTCAAGTTTTTTTTTTTTTTAATTTCAGCTTGGTGATCTTCTGTTAGGCTGCTGTAACGGCGGAGGCAGCCCACAAACTTATTTCTCTGGAAGAATAAATAAATCAATTGTTACAGCAAACCAAACTTTGGTCAACCAAATTATTGGCCAAACCAACCAAACGCCTGCCATGTGACAAAAGAAAAAAAAAACACTACCAAAAGACCCCCCCACCCAACCACCAAAAAAGCATCCACACACACACACACACACACACACACACAAAAAAATACCCCACAAAGAACCCCCCCCCACACACACACAAAGTAGACAATGCTCAGACCGCTACTAGAGTTTCACACTACGGAGATCGTCCTGCGACCACAATTGTTATATATATTCATATTTCTTATATTTATATATATATTTATACTTACCTTTGTGTAATGCTCACCCGGCGTTATGCTGGGGGTTTTGACAATTATTGAATCGTTTCGTGGCCTTTGGCTGAGATTCGATCAAGGTTTCGACTAGCTTGGACTGGCTCCGGCCTGGACTTGCTAGGACAAGTCATGACCAGCTTTGACTAAGCTCTGACCAGCTTGGACATGCTATGACCAATTTTGACCAGTGGCCTTTGAGTGGAAACACTCGGGTTTCCCACGTTAAACGACCTTGTGTCACATCTTGACCTTGTGGGAGTCAAGTAAATACCTATATTCATATTTCTCACTAACTGAATTGCTAATATTTTTCAAATTTGAGTTATCTATTCTTATTGTAAGTGCCTGAAGAATTTGATTATTCTTAATTTATTCACTTGGATAATAGGTGACTAAGATTGAGATCTGCTTGACACAAGGTCACAGAAGAAACGGTTGGTACCAATCTATGGGAATGGTTAGTTCTTGTACTAAAAGTACAAAGTGTGACACAAGGCCAAATTGGGGCACGAAGGAAGGCCGGTCTTCATTAGTCCTTTCTTAACTTATCTAGACTCACTCATTGACCCATCCGTACAAATAATTTTCCATTCGCCATCACAACACATTTACTTCAACTAGTTGCGCCACAATCACCAAAATATCTCATTTGCTCAATGAAATTCCTAATTTTAAAATATGTGTACAATTCTTTGTGGGTAGAAGGCCAAAAATACTAATTTGCAATGATTTTACACAAGGAAATAACAAGGCACCTGGCACAGTGGATAAAGGCATTAGTTAGATCCAGTGACAGGACCCAAAGAGTGTGAGTTTAATACCCAGTTAAGGCAGTGGAGAACTTGGAGAAGGGAATTAACAGGAGATAACTGATAACTGATATCCATTAAACATGGCACATGGAACTAGAACAATCTACCCCAGTGAGTGAAATAAAGGGTTCAGTTCGACATTCCAACCATCTGAAGAAGGCCGGAGCGTGCGTACAACGGCAGAAACGTTGTAATAAATATGGCGACAAAGATGAGGATAATAGTCCGAATAATGTAAATAGTGTACATAATACCTCATCTCAGAAATATAGACAGATGCAATAAAATTGATATCATTTCGCAGGCCAATAATTTTGGCAATTCTTGTTGCAATAACCTCAAATTTTTGCAGAATGTATCGAAACAGATCAAGATTTTATATTTAATGTTTTATTTTTGTTCTGTTTTTAAGTTGAGCCATGCCGTTCACTCTCAAAGAGAAGTCATTTTGCGTCTTGGAATATGCTCGCACACGGTCACCGAAGACTGTGCAGCGTGCCTTCAATACATTCTGCCTTCAGTGCAAAATTTTATGGGAATATATGAAGAGACTGGTCTTCCCTCTTTCTGCTAGCATTGATGAACTCAAGCAGAGAATCAATTCCGCAATGGGTAATGTTACAGGAGGCATGCTACAGCGTGTTTGGCAAGAGCTTAACCACCGACTTGACGTTTGCCGTGTTACAGGCGGTGCACACTTAGAACACTTATAAAATCGGTCCCAGAATAAACATATGATATTCAATACTTAAACTGTTCAATTTCTTCGAGCTAGACTTAATAGTTTTCAAGATAATTGCTTTTAAAATCATGTCAAATTTTGGGGGAAATATATGCAACAAACAAACATATATTAGTGTTTGATCCTCCACGCGATGAATAACCCAGCGTAGTAAAACCGAAAAAAGGACGAAAACTGACCTAACGTAGACGGTGATAACTGAAAATTTAGATCCGACACTTAAAATCCTGTTTTCTAAGTAGCATCCAACAACCACTCGAGCTGGGCACCTGACACTCACCAAACCTAAAACTGTCATCCACCTTTCGCCAAATTTTGATAAAGAGAGTCGCAACCTTTCTACTCTATCCTGATCTTAATTTTAAGCTGATGCTCAAAGAAATTTGAGGATTAGAGAAATTCTCACCTCCATGAAACTCCATCTATCTCGTTGTCAACACAACGACTCGCATAATGCCGGGTAAGCATAAGGGTACATCGTGCTGGTTCTTTTTCAGCGACAGTACCATTTTGGCACAGATAGAATTAGCATCCAGGCCAAAAACCTGGATGACGCGGACTATGTAGTCTTCACACAACTAACACAACTAAATAGAAAATGGAGACCTCAAAATAAAGTTTCTTACCGACCCTTAGGAACACTTGCAACACCAGCCATGGGAAAGATGCCTCACCTTTGATGAGGCATTTCAACACCAGAAACACACGTCCAAATAGAATGGTAAGGACGAGCCCTTTAATGATATCATCTCGAGCAGCGCTTTCCAGTTTGTTAACACGTGATATAAGGCCTTCTGAGACAACGCCTGAGTGTCCGAGAGGCGATTCTTCGCCTATAAGAGGGTAGCGCCGCGCGTTTCGATTGCTCGGGGCAGTCGACACTTTCCCCACTCGTCTGTATACACCCTTTTCAAGGATGGAAATTATCAGCGTGTGTATTCTTTCCCGAATTCGCTATTAGAGTCCTCAACGCTCGGTCTTCCCAGATTGCCTTTGGTAGGATTAAAACAGCAGACTTCGCGATGTACCTAAACAGAATTAAAAAAGGAAATTAAAAAAATTCTCGAAGTAAATCCAGGCGGAAGTGGAAGAACGGAGAATCGGTAAAGGAGAATCGGGTAGATGGTTTAAGCACAAAACTCCCACCCCTTTTAAGGAAAAAGATTCCTTCGAGTCTACGGTCGAGCGGCGGCATTGATCTTCTTCTAAACCTCCGACCAGTTCATCTCCAGCTGTAGGCCTGAACCGAATCAGATATCATCTTCACTGGCCTGTCCATCCAACTGTAGGGCGCGGGAAAAGAAATTCCCTTTTTCTCACCCACCCGCAGACCAACAGCTTTATTGCGCCTAGTCTTTCTTATCTGACGAAACATTTTTGGCTGCTCCTCCAAAGAGGTCTTCATTTTGCCAGGAGCTTCCCCCAAATAATATATAGAAAAAATCGAAAAAAAAAAATGTTTGTAAAAGCTGGAGAATAGAAAATAAAAATTACAAAAATAAAAACAATAAAAGGAAGTTTGCCTCTTATCACGCAATCAATATCAGAACTGGTTCATAAAAATCCACAAAGGAAAAACAGTCGGACCGAATGACTGTTAAAATATCTTCCTTCCCAAATTTATAGACAAATACCGGCGAGGAGTTATTTAATCAATACAAATATATACAATTTCGCTGTATTGCCATTTCGTTGATATTGTTCATAATAAAGAAGAAAGAAAGGGAAAAAAACAAAAAAATAAATTAAGTAAAAAAAGAATGAAATAAAATTAATGTGGCTAGTCGGGATGAGTAGTTCTGGGTCTGATTGAAGCTGGAGACATAATTAATTAGCAATGTATTTCTTGCTTTAATAGAAAGTCACCGTCACTTGACTGTTTCACTTTTGCATGTTAACACCATTCTTACTTTGTAAACTTTTTACCTGATTACTGTTGCTTTGGTTACTTTTGAT